AAACATCATAACTAGGGACAAAAATTTCTAAGCACCAGCATGATTCCATACACAAATTAGTATTAATTCAAATAAACTGCTTAAAAAGAGAACTGATTATAATGTTCACTAACAGCTATCTATGTTTCAGAAATAATAAACATAATCACTGTGTCATAGGAAGTTCACATGTAATTAATTTTGTTTACATTCTCTTGGGGCAATCAACCACATTTTCATATTGTGTTTGTATAGAAAAAAGAGTGATACTTTGTCCAATATTGAGCAAAGAAGTTATTTTGCCTACTTAAAATCATATAATATTCATTAAATTATACTGATGAATAACACTTGATATATTTAATTCTTTAATTATTTATTCTTCTCACTTTATAGCATTTACTCTAGTATTTTTCAGATGTGAACTGGAGTGGTTAAGTAAGAAAAAAATGGAATCTGATAGCCTAGATTATCCTAAAATCAGTTCTCTAAGACATTACCTATTATCACTGAAAATCAGGAGCATTGTCTGCTCAGATCAGAAAAATTGCTATGACTGTATATCTAAAAATAACATATAGTTAAGCAGGTCCATTTATCTAAAAGTAAACTGGAACCAAATCATATAAATGTAATGTTCATTTAACAGATACAAACGTTAAATCATTATGATATTGTATTTACATATCTATGTAACAAAATATTCAGTTGTTATATATTTTAAAATATATTATTCTGAACTGGTATATTTGCTATGTTATGTCCAAACAAATAAATATGGGGAAAAGTGTACATCAGAATTCCATGTGGAGTTTCTTAATAAAAGCATATGTATTCAGTCAAGTTCAAATAATAACCTAAGATGATAAATTGTTTAATAATAATAATAATAAAACCAATACAACTACTAATAATAAATCTACCAGTAATTAAGTACTTACTATGTGGCATTGTACCAGATGTTTTAGCAGCACATGGTAGGCATTACTATCACCTTATTACAAAAATTAAATTTTTGCCTCCAGTTTCCATTTATCTATGAACAAAAGCAAGGTAAATAAAGCAATCTCCATTTTTTGTATGCATCTGATAAGGCACTTTACTAAATGTACAGTGTTGAACTGGAATATGGAGTAGGCCATGCACTGTAACAACCTCCAGTCTACAGAAATCATCTATTCCTCTGAGGACAGTGGGAGGAGAATTTTCTCCCTTGGGGAGTTATGGGAGTAGTTGATAAATCTAATCAGCAGCCAGGGAGATCCACACTCACACATACAATAAGGGGCGAAAAGGAAGGTCTGGCATCTAGGAAGGAGAATAAACCCGGAGTAGGAAACTTGAAACAGAAACATTCAGGCAGAGAGGTAATTATTGAAGCCATAAAATTGGATAATCACCAGAAAGAAATTTGGAAAAACATTTTTCTAGAGACAGAAAGAAAAAAATAAAGGCAAGTGTAGAAGAACAGTCAGAAAAAGATAATGAAATCAGTAGCGCTGATGCTTTTAAAAGCCAAGTGGAGACAATTTTCATTAGTCTTTGGTGTTAATAAAAGTAAAATTATGGAAAAAATTATTGAGGAAGATGATGATGAAGAACAAATCAGTGGATTGAGAAGTTAAGAGAATAGAGATAAGCTTTGCAAGAGTGCATCAATATATAGTAAAGACAATGCCACACATTAAGTCCTCCATTCCCAACATGTCTTAATACCAAAGAGTCACTACTGATTGACATGAGCAATACACACAAATTGAGGCATTTGGCCTGTCCTCTAAGGGAACAAAGAGGCATAACAAATTAGGACACATTATTTTGTATATTAAAAAAAACTCTAAGCTCTGTGAAGGATTGGAATGTGACTTTGTGATCAAAGACTTTATTTTGTCATATACTCATAGAACTGGAAGCAGTGAGTGTAGATTTTTTTTCTGATTTCAAAGATGTACCACTTCTACAACTTGAAAATATTGGAATCTAAGAGAGTGATGGAGAATTCCTGCTCTGTCTCCTTACTGCCATACCAAAAAAATTCAAATTTAATTTTATCTTAAATAAATAGCTGAGATAAAATGTGTAATTTAAGAAAAAAGTCAGAAGGTTGTTCCTGGAATGTTTCAGTGCCTTTGTAGACACAGTTATAAAGTCATACCTGTAAATGAGGTATCTCACGCAGTGGGAATAATAGTGATAATCAGAGCTAAAATGTAACATTGTTTTCTATGTGCCTGGTACAATTAGAATGCTTTGCATGTATCATCACATTTGTCCTACCTGATTCTAGACAATAACATAGGGTGGTACTATTATTATCCACATTGTTCACATGAGGAAATAAGCAGAGAGGTGTTATTTGCCCACGGTAATTGGCTCAGATAGTCTATGAATCCAGGCAGTCTGACAACCTACACTCTTAAGATCTGAGCTAAGAATTCTACAGAAACTAGACCGATGAGGGCCAAGAACAGCTCCTCTCCCTCCTTCCCCAGGTCAGTTGATGCTCTTCCTGACTGCGCTCCCCTTGCAGGCTGTCAGCTCCTGCTCCCTGGATGCACCACTGCTGTCAGTCTATACCTCAGTCCTTGTAATAGTGCTGCTTCCTTTTCAAATGTCAAAATGAAATTCAGCTCCCTAAAAACATACTTATTAATGAGTCCATGCAACTTGTTAGGGTGCCCCCAGAGAGATTCTTGAAAATATTACATGGAGTCCATTATAAAATTCTGTGGCAGATGATTAATTTCCCATCAGCAAACGGAAGATCTGCTTTATCACCATACTGTTTTAAGTTAGATAATATTCCCATGAATATGAAGTTTCTACTTGTCAAAAAGAAATCTTTTCAAAGGAAGAGCAAGAGGAGCTTTTTGAAAATAATTCCGCCAAAATCTAAATGATGAGAGGCATATGCTGGCGGTGAGGGGACAACCTGGTCAATCTGCCCTAGTTTCAAAACAGCTGCAGATGCGGTAAAAGTCTGAGGTCATTTCTCAGACTGACTGGAATGGAGGGCTTTTCAAGTGCCTTGCTGAGCTGTGTTTGTTTCTTTTAACTTCAATCATTTTAATTTTTGTCAATGCTCATTAAAAAGAGAAAAAACTAGAAAGTAGTGTAGAAAAACATATCTGCAGTGTTTAAATCCTACCTCCATATGGCACTTTTTCTGATTGTTCTAACGTGTTTTGATTTCTCCTGCATTTTCTGTATACTTTGCTTCACATTTAGCTCATGTTAACTGAGAACCTGTTTATTCTGTTTCTCTGTAAATCATCTACTGGTTCTTGCTGATGAAGTACTATTCCTTCTGTTCAGGGCTTAGCTTTTCCTTAGTAACAATGTTCTAACAATTACCTACCCTCATCTTCTAGCACTATTATTCTGTTCATTCTGTCTTCATTTTTCACCCATTATTGTTTCAGCGAAGATATTTTGTCTGTATGTAAGCAACAACTAGAAAATCCACTGACATGAATAAGAAAAATATTTAGCTTAAAGTTTTAAAGACATTTTCTGGCAATGGAAAATATGAGGTTACTCAGCTTTTAAAGTATAACAGTTTACCTTGTTTCTCAACCTATTAATAGCATTTCTCTGCCACCAAACTAGTAATATTTATAAACAAGGTTTAAAGCAATGCTACTCACTATAAAAAATGTCTGTAACTTTCTTCTTTGAGAACAATAGCTTCTAGCATTTTTAAGTTTGTGGAGCCCTTTCAAAGTAAAATAAAATAAACTGTGGAACTGCAGTTTATTTATTCTCTTGGAAATGCAGGTGAATTTTATTTGGAGCCATTTTATTCATTTAAGAATGCTTATCAAAAATGTGGAATTGTCCTTCGATGTAGAATGTAGAATCTATGCCAACAGAGAAAACTTACAGTACTTTCATACTTCAAGGCTGAAGCCTTATACTCGTGCATTTTTTATGATCCTTCTAATTATCCTTCATGTCTACAGAAGTTAGAGAGGAGGTGGTTGGATAGTCTCTGATACTAGTCAACTGAGTGACAATTTCCTGAATCCTAGTTAATTGACATCTATAATGAATTTTTTATTTATTCTCTCTTTTTATTTCTTTCCATTTGTGCAACTTCTAAACCTTATTCTTTCCCCATTGCAAATGATAGCCATTAATCTTGTTTTGTTTTCTTTCACTTTCCTGCAGAGTTAGTTCTCTGTTCCACTTTCTACTTTGTCCTTGGCAGTCCAGGCAGTTAGAGAGACTAATTCCTGATATAAGAGTAAACTGTTATGTTCAAAACACCTTAGAGGATTGTTTGCCTTTCATTGCAATGTTAGTTCCCACAGAGAAAATAAAGAAAAATATCTGAAGATGATCCATCAAATTTGTTGTGGAGTGTTGTTAACATTAGACTAATTATCTTACTAGACTATCAGTGGCAGTTCTTCACCATGAATAAAAAAATCAAGCAAAATGAAATAAAATTGGACTTCGTAAGTGCTAATATACCAAATGTAGTTTGTGTCTTTAAATCAAATAAAATACTAATGTTCACAAATGTTTTCTAGATGACACACACTCTTCAAACTTATACTTATTTATAAAAAGTCTACTTTTATACTTGGCGTAGATTCAGTAATGATTAGTATGTGATGATTGAACGCTGGGAAATATGATTGTCTCTGTTTTATGTTCTAATGATTAATATAGTCGACCCAAATAATTAAAAAACTAAAATGGACATGAAAAGAGAAGTGCAAAGAATAACCCAAGTACTTTAAAGTATAAAATACATGTATGCTTGTATAATTATTCATAAAACGAGCTTTATTTCACCTGATGTGAACCTGGGTTATCTTCTAATCTAGGCTGCATTGAAACATGGGAAGGCAGAGATCCAAAGAGCTTGTGTTACTGCTTCAAGTCACAGATTAAGTAACTGACAAACCTTAACCAAAATCCTAGCTTCATGAATCTTTCTAGTGAGGATTCCATGAAAATTAAGCCATTTCAGAGAAATGATTTGCTTTCTTTTACCTATTTTTTTTCCAAAGGGAGACCCACTTGCAGTTGTGCGCTGGGGTTCACTGGGCCCAATTGCGGAAAGACCGTTTGTGAGGACTTCTGTCAAAACGGAGGCACCTGCAGTGTGACTGCTGGGAACCAGCCTCGCTGTCACTGCCAGCCTGAACACACTGGAGACAGATGTCAGTACTGTAAGTTAGCGCAACACCCCACGGCGGGCTGACAGTGGGCTTTGGTGTTCACATGAAGTAATTTTCTTATTGCTCTGTCTTCATGCTCCTTATCTCAGATTCATCCACCCTCTGTTTTTTCAGGTTCACTTCCTCTGTCACCCCAACTCCAACAATTACTTGCATTGTTCCTCATCCTTTTCTTGTTTTAAAGATTCTGTGCTTCCTCCTTCCCCAGCTTAGACTCCACGGTTCATTGTTGTAATCATTCCCTTGTATATAAACCTCCTCCCTTATATTGCACTTTCCTAAAAAAGACATAACCATGGTTAAATCTGGTCTTAGTCTGTTCTCAACTGGGGCCCCATTGCTGGATGCAACTGAGGAAACACAGACAATCATTTAGACTGGTCTCATTTGAACTTTCATCACTAATCTCAAATGGGCATTTATGCTTCTACTGTACCTCACTAATCCATTGACCCTCCTGAATGTATCTGTTCAGTCTTTCCCTTTCTCCTCCCCAACTTCATACTCAGCAGAGGAACTTGCTTCACTGATAAAAATAGAAGTTGTCCAAAGAGAACTGCCACAAGTTCTCATCACTGCATCCCTCAAATGACTTTTCCTATACCCATATTCTCTGTTTTCCTTCTTACAAATAGGAACTGCATGCTACCGCTAAAACTGTACCATTCATGGATATATTAGATCCCTCTTGATTTGTGGACACACCTCTTTGAAGTGACATCCGCTTTCTCCTGCTTTATCATTTTCCTGTCTACCTAGCCTTTCTTGAAAGGCATAGCCTTATCCCACATCCCTTTCTTGATACAATTTCATTTCCTGCTCATTTTTTTTAACAGTAGCATTTCTCTAAAGATTTATTACGCTCTACAATTCCTCTCTGCCTATTTTTCTTTTGACCAATTGAGTGCTTATCTTCACTCTTCTGATTGAAACATCTTGAAACAAAGTCAAGTTAATTAATTTATTTTAATGCCATCCATCTTGTCATATCCAATGGTCAAGTCTCAATTCTTATTTTACTTCTCCAGTCAGCAGTTAATCACTCCCTCCTTAAAATGCCTTCTTCACTCATCTTTATGTTTATGACTCCCATGTTTTATTACCATTTTACTGGTTGCTGCTTCTCAGGGCCATTTGCTGGTTTCTTCTTATCTCTCTGGCCTTTTGACCATTAAACGTTGGAATGACTGTTGACTCTGTCCCCATATGTCTTTTCTCCTCTGAAATACTCTCTCCTTGAGGCTATGATCCCTGTATAATTCTGTGCATTGGAATGACGTTGACAGCTTTTATAAAATACAGTTTCCCGAACATCATCTCCAAAGATTTTGATTCTGTTAGTCTTCAATGGGGCATCTATTTAAAGTTTTACAAATGTTTCACATATGTGATCAAGATTGAGACATATTTCCTAGATGATTTCAAATAATTGCATGTCTTTCAATACCACTCACATACAAATGATTCCAAATTTATATCTCTAGCTGAACCTATGAAAATTCCAGATTTTTATACCTACATGTCTATTTGACAGCTTGACTTGGCTCTAAATTAACCTTATTTTCTCACCCAAAAATGCTTCTACCATAGTTTTCCCTCAGGTCCAAAATCTTTGAGTCATTCTTGACCCCTGTCTTTTATTCCCCATCTAGATCCTTTGAAATATATCTAAAATCTGAATCCTTTTTTGTTACCTCCATTCTACTAGCTCATTAAAGTTACCAGCATCTCTTACCTGGATTATTGCTAATGTTTCCATGCTTCTTCTCTGTACCCTCTATATCTATTCTCAGAAAAGCAGCTACATTTCTATTTTATCCATTGTAAAAAAATTTCCATCTCAGTAACATTTACTGAGATTTTCTACATCCAGACATGTTATAATTACTTCTTTTTTTGTTGTTGTTAATTCCATTAATTCACTTAATCCTTCTAATGAGATAGGTATTGTTTTATTCTCACTTTACAGAGGAGACTACTTAGGAGGCATAAAGTTTCCTGGAGATGACAGTAACTGGGAGAGCCAGGACTCAAATCCACACAATCCAATCCAGGACCCACACCTTTAAAAGTTACTTAAACATTCGGCCACCAGACTGATTTCATTGAGGACCTTATAGAGAGTGGCCTAGCTCTCTGGTCATCGAAGACAGTACATGAAACACTGTAAAATCAGGCTACATTCACTGACTTAGTTGAGATCAAGAATAATATTAAGTATTTTGCCTGATATTAAAGCAGGGGGCCACTTCTGCTACAACACAGATTCAGTTTCAAATTGATGCTGATGCCACTACCCAAAGCCCCATGCCCTTTTTCAGATGGCTTGCTTAACTTATTTCTTAAATGATATACATCACAGGCCAGCAGAGTTTACCTGGCAAATACAGTCTAGTTATATGCATGTGTCCCCACTCACATACTGCCCACATCCTCATTTTCTCCCAGTAACAGAGTGTAGTATTCCAGCATGACTGCCATCTACTAATTCATGGGTGTTTTGTTTTGTTCTTTTCAGCTCCACCATTCTTGAAATACCAAATGATTTCCAAGCAAATCAGGGACAATGCCAACTACCATCCTACATAATGCAGACCTTTCTTACTATCCAAACTGTATTTGCAGCTTCTACTTTATTCTAGTAAATTTGTCAACTTACCTGGCACTGTGACTTCCCCTTGCTAATATCTTCCATTCAAGTGCATTTTCTTTGGCTTTCTCACCTTTATCTCTGCATGTCAAATCCTATTTCTCTGTGTCTGTCCAGCTTAAGCACCATTTCCTTTTTAAAGTTGTTCACATCCTCCCTCAGTTTGAACTATTTCTTTCTCTTCTGAATTCACAAATCATTGCCCTTTACCTCTTTCTGACTCTATTCACTTTTACTGAGTGGTATTAATTGTGCACATTCCTCCTTGCTTGGGATGACCTCTCTGAGACTATACCCACCAACAATAGCATTTGTGAAATAAAAAAATGAACAAATAAATAATCATACATAAGTAAATGAAATCAGTTTGGAGACAAGTTAATAAAAAGCAATCAACCTAATGTACAAAAGCTACATTTAATCAGGGTACAGCCATCTGGTATTTTTGCATGGAGCTATTTCTCAGTCCCAATTGGTCCATCTTCATAGAACATCAATCCTTTTTTTCCTTGATTTTTTTTTAAGTTGAAGCATCACCATTCTTGATTCTTTCTGAACTCAGGTAATAAACAAATAAATAAATACTATATGGCCATGATTATAGCAATTTGGATTCTTAAAAGAATAAATTCAGTTAGCTTATATTTTAATTGGCAACTTAATAGAATCACAGTCTGAGGGAGCCTGATGCATTATAAAAAGGCTGCATTATAATTTTATTATCACTATTAGCAGTCATAGCACTTTCCACCTTTAACTGCAAGGCTCTTATTAAAATTAACCAATTAATCCTTAGACAGGGATTCAGTAACTTGCTCAAGGTCCCGCAGTAGTAATATTATAGTCAGAATTGGCCCCCAGGAGTTGTTGATCAAGATGTCAACAAACATTCCTTCAATATTGTGATGCTGTTCTTCAGCAGCAAAATAAGTCTGTGGACAGTATCATTGAAATGATAAATCCACAGCTGACAAAAGCATAATAAATTTAGGATCCATTATATGTGAGTCGGCAAGGTTCAGTGGACCTGGTGTTCTGTCAAAATTGTATCTTGCATATACAAAATCTTCTCTCTATAAATGAAGGAATGACAGAATGGTTCATTACAATGCCTAATTAAAGGTCCATTAGTGGGAGGTAAAACATCAGTTCGTAGTAGTGCTGAGTAAAAACATTTTACAACTCTAATGGCAACATAAAATCCTGAGGTATGAAATGCAAACTAATTTTACCAACAACACCCGTGGAGGAGAGACAGAGATAAATAATGGCAAAACTAAAATGAAGCATTCTTTAAGTAAGTTGTTCAGAAACAAATACAGCTTGATTTCATGCAGGTCTGGAGCAAAGATTTCTACTACAAGTCAAAAAATAATAATATTAAGCAATGCATTTTGCATTTAAATCTAGATGGTAAACATAAAGTTAATAATATCTGAGGTCATTTGCAATTAAATAGTCATAATATTAGGGCAAAAGGACCAATGAGAACCAACTCAATCTGTGTCTAAGAGTCAGGTATTCAAATCAAATGGCAATCTGTCTGTCCTTTCAGTGATATGTTCAAAGGCCTCTAGTGATCTGCTTGGGAAAAAATTATAATTTCAATTATAACTCAGTTTATTAGAAATACACCTGTATGGCTTATTCCCACTGGTTCCAGTAAGTACAGCAATTAAATAGTATCTCAAATTTATAATATTAGAACTACCTGACAGTAATCCATACATATCATCTATTGTAACTGGTATTAGAACCATAGTCCATCAAGTAACTTGAATAGTTAGGAACTGTAGATAGACATAGCCTACCATATGTGGTGACATGATGGGATTATTTTTGCCATTTGCCTTCCAGAACAGTTTTATTCTATTAGTCAGTTAACATGGTTTGGTGTATACAGTGAGTCTATCACTATGTCAAGCATTGAGGGAATAGTGATGTCAGACATATTCCTTGCCCTCAGTTTACAGCCTAATGCGTGATTCTATAAAATAAGTTATTATGGGACAGTCTAATGAAACACAGAGGTTTGCAGAACCTAGAGAAGAACAAAGAATTCAGTCTGTATGAAAGATTTTTTGGAGTAAGGGTCATCTAAGCTGAGACCAGCTAGCCAAATGAAGAGAGGAAACAATGAGTGGAACAGCATTTACAAAGGCCAGTATGGAAAGACTTTTGAAATTAATCTTTTTCTGTTTCTACTGTATTTTCCTAGGGAAGGGCTGGCAAGGAAAATAACATTCACTGAACATATATAATGTGTTGGTCACAGAAACACAAGCTGTTACGTATTATTTTATCTAATATGTGAATATATAATATTTTAGTAAATGCCCAT